CTGGATGCTGAGATATTTACAAAAAACGATTTTTTGAGTTTCAGCAAAAAGTGGTGTTTTTGGCCAAAAGTTCATTATGACCTTTATATTAGATATCTGGGGTCCTGCTTTGTTTATTTTTGTTAATATTTTTGTCAACTCGACCAAAATGATCTACAGTCAAACCTTGATATAGTGAAATTTTGATATAGTGAATTTTTCAGACAACTATAATAAATTTCCCTTTGCTATAACGAATTAACCAATCAAATCTCTTAAAATCTTTACTATAGCCCTATAGGCTATAGCGAAGTTGAGGTCTGGAACCTAGGGTTTATTATAACAAAAGTTAACTGTACATTTTTGGTAATTCACGTTAAACAGTCAGTTGATCATTCTACAGTTAAATTTATTGGTCTAAATTTTTAGTGCAACTGACCAAATATTCCGTTCAATCAATTATGAACTGGCCTATTGTAATCAGATTAAGAAAGGGTTATTATTGCTCGATCATGACCTTATAACCATATTTATACAGGTATTTAATGAACAATATAGAACTACAAATTTCTACATTAATGAGAGTATTATACTTTGTAATTAAATTAACATTATGCGGTATAACTCATCTATTATCTAAAGACACATCTTTAGTATTAATAATACGGCTATTATCACGTCTGCAATAAATAGGATATTCATTGTTATCTTCTTGGAGTAATATTTTTGACATACACTATCTTTTATACATGGTGCAGTTAGATTCAATACACCGCATGGATCATGTAACATCATAGTTAATACAGTCTTATAAGCAAGTGGATATGTTACAGGATTTGGAAATTTAGCAGAAACAATAGAGTCATAATTCTCTGTGAATTATAATTTACTTTCTGAAGCTAGTATTAGTAAGAAGTGAGCATGAAGCAGACCACATTTTTGAAACTTTATCACATATATATATGCAATAACTTTACCAAGACAATGGTTATGCAATAGATTTTTTAATAATTCCTATAATTTCATATGAAAAATGTGAGCTGTCAAGTCTTGCCTATCAACAGCACTTTGATGAGGTAATAGTTCTCTTGTAATTTCAGGCCATTTGGAGTTACATGTGAAAGTTACAAAGAGATTAGGGTTTCTGCAGTGACTCACAATGGCCATTACATTCTAATAGAGTTGATACATTTGGCATGGACTACCAGCAAATGAGGATGGAAGAATAATACGACGACCAACATTGGTATTGTCATTAGTATGTATTGCATCCATAACATCATTATACAAATCAGTCTGAAGTGTAACTTGATTATATTTAAGGTAATTTAAACGATTCTGCTCAATCTCTGCATATTGATTAACAATGTATTGCTGATACAAATGGCCAGCATTTTGAATCTAATTTCCATCTTTAATCTGTAATCTATAAGAGTAAAATTGCATTGCTGATATTCTTTTTCAGTTTACAGAATCTATTAGGGAAATATCCATATGGCAACTATTATCGCCGTTTGGAAATAATAGTACATAATGAAGGAGATCATATGATAGATGAATTTTGGATATTCTTTGTAGATTCCCATCACGCATTTTAAGAAGAATATCACAATTAGCTGTATGTAACTTATGACCATCACTAATCATAATTGCAGCAACTTCAGAAACTGTAAAGGTATTGTAACAATGTAAATATCAGCATAAATGACCATAAAAATTTCATTAGATGTATTTGTCTGAATAAGGTCTCTTACATGACAAAAATTTTGGATGTAAGGGTTGCATTCATCCATTATGTTCAGCAGATTCTGTAGAATTTCCTCATCTAATTCCTGCATAATATTATGGCAGTTTTCAACTTCATGCATAGAGTTATAAATGTATAATTGAGCAAATGCTGGCTGGTGACCTTCTTCTGGTAGCAATAGTCCAATCTGATGATAAACCTAGCCATGAATATGGAAATTAGAAATACCTTAGCCTTGAAATGTATTTATATTTGTGATAAAAAAAGTGCAAGTCAAAACATTATTATAGTGCCTAATATTTTTGCAAAATGAGATTGCATCAGATTCAGATGAAGTATATAGTTCAGCAAATACGATGGTGGTTCAATCAAAGGTGGCAAAAGAACTTTGCCATATGCACAGCAAACTGAAAAAGTTGAAAATGTATGGTTGCTACTATAATCTTTTTTCTCCATCTAAAATTTCACATCACAATGGACACAGATCTGATCAATTCATCATAAGTCATGATATGGTATACACTCTAATTTATCTGATATTCTTTCATTATTATTACTTTTTTTAAATTGGATTTTTCTCTCTTTCACTAACCTCTTTTGACATAAATCTAATGGTTCATATGCTTCTTGTCCAGATGGAATCTGAGTTTCAGATGGGTAATTGATATTCTTGATGTTATGTCTTCTTATCAAATGGGCTTGTCTTTCTTTAGCTAATTTCTTTTTAGCTACTCTTTTTTGACATTATCTTTTCATAATAGATTTTTTGTCTTTTTCTGAAATGGGCTTGTCTCTTTAGCTAATCTCTTCAGTTTGACGTAGTTTAAGAGATTCACTTGCTTCTTATTTAGATGGCATCTTAGCTTTAGATGGATATTGAATTAGTTATGCATTTTGGAAAAGGATCTCATTTTGTAAAAAAATTAGGACGCGAATATACATCAACATCATCATTAACACAAATTTCATAATACACAGAAAATATCAGAAGTAAAAAATTTCATCAGTTTTCAAGAAAACTTTATTAGTTTATTTCAATACTTTAAATTTTACAACAGTTTTTATTAATTACATTAATTGAATTTGAATATAGCTTAATCTATCATGTCAAGAAGTAAATGTAACTGTCATATAGGAAAACAATTATTATATAGTAGATGGTGATATTCCACTATATTTATTAATAATAATATTAAAGTAATACAATATATTTACAAAAGTAAAATAAAATAAGGTATTCTAAATAAATTTAAATATTATCAACATACTGCCTCTCCTAAAGGAATCAAAAGTGACTCATTATGAAAGACTTAAAAATTTGACCAATAACCTTCTTTATCGAATATTAAGCTATTTCATAACTTCTAACGTAAATTTACTATTTTATCTAATTTATTGACCGTTAATTTAGATTTGTTGGCCAACTTTTTCATCTTTACATTAATCCTTTTCTGATATTCTAAATCAGCTAGTTTAATATTCCTATACTTCCATATAAAAATTTTGAAATCAAAAATCAATTTGTTAATCAAATCATCTAATAACCTTATTCTGTTTTTATCTAATATTCTATAACTTTTAAATAAGTTAACTAAATCTATATGTATAAAACCTTTTGCTAACATAAACAAATTATATATTTTATTGAAATCCCAAATCTTACAATATGAAATTTCTTTAAATATCATCAGGATTTGCATTTTCCATTTAAATATATTTTAATAATAAAATAATGGAAAAGTTAATAAAGAAATTCAAGATTAAATATAGATTTTCAATTAGTTATCATATAAAATAAATAGATTAATAGAAGATTTAATAAAAATATTATATGAAGAGTATTGCTAAATATTACCAGTAGTACTCGTCACCACATGTAAAATATTTTTTGAATTTTCAAAAATTTTTGACTGAGATATTCTTCTAATTAAAATATAAATATCATTATTATTGTTATCCTGTCAATGATTAAAGCTGACTGAAAAACTTTAACGCTTTAACAGGTTAACTGGAATTTAACTTAATAGGAAAGTCTTAAGTTGATCACAAATAATCACGTGAAATAACGTTGGATGTTCAGGTAAAGAAAATAGGTTTTTATTAAAATAATGTAAGATTTTGAATACGACAAAAATATAGATAATCTCTTAGTTGCAAAATTAACTATCTTGAATTATACTACTGGGAATAATACTCTTTTCATATAATTCAAAAACTACAATACAATTTTTAACTAACTAACTGACCTCCCCTCCTACTTGGTAAAATCCTATCACTATTTATAATAAAATAAAAATCAAGAATATTTGATAAAATAAATAAATCAAATATAATAAATAAATAAAATAAATAAAATAAAATAAATAAATAAGATAAAATAAATATATCAAATAAATAAAATATAACAAATAAAATAAATAAAATTAATAAAATAAATAAATCAAATATATCAAATTTATCATATTTTTCAGATTTATCAAATAAATCAAGAAAATCAAGAAAATCGAAAAAATCAAGGGATCTACGAAATGATCTACAAAATTTGATCTACATAAAATTACTGCGCCACATTTCTATTTTAACACTATATGTAAATTTATGAGTAGAATAAGTTTCCCTTAGATTATAAAGGCTATTGTTTAGATAGAAAAATAGGAAAGTTTGATTTAAAAGTAAAATACAATTTTTTGTTTTAAAAAAGATTTTTTTTAGTCAAATTTTCAAAATTTTAGTGTGATTAGTATCTACCCAGGTTTGTTTTACACATTTATTATTTAAATTGAAATTTTTGAAAGAAAATTTATGGTGTGTTTTTTTAACTCTGGCCAAAATTATAATTTTTGGCCAGAATTAAGTGGTGTGGTGACGTCACCACTGGTGATATTTAGCAATACCCTTTATATGAATTATTAGTAAAATTGAAGGAAAACTAAAATTAGAATAAAAAAATAGCATTAGTTTTGAAATAAAAAGCAAAAATCAATGAAAATAAAACTATTTATTTGGTTTATATAAGAGAAGTAAAATTACCAATAGATAAAAATAATCAGTTAATGGAAAAATTACTAAAAGTAAAAAACCAAGTAAAAGAAAAAATTAGTAAATTACAGATAAGTAAAGATATATAACTTAATTTATATATTTTTTTTTATATAATTTAATTAAAAAATATTTAATTTTTAATTTCTTACATTTAAAATAATAAATTTAATAAATTTAATAAATACAAATCTTTTTAATAATTTTTCTTTAAACAAATCTCATTTTTTTTTAGCTTTTTTTGTTAAATAACATAATAATTACAATCTTGATTAGAAAAAAAAAATCCCCTAATTTAATAAAGGAATATAATAATCAAAATAAGAAAATATATAAAAGTTCAAGAGAAGGTCAGGGTTTAAATAAAAAATAACTGCATGTATTAAAAACATAACATAATTCGGAAAATGACAGTAATTCAAAAGGGTATATCAACTTTTTTATGGTGTATAATATGATGTTTGTTTAAAATATAAAAATCATGAAATACAAAATTTATACTTCGGTGTATAATATGACCCATCTCACTAATGTGTATAAAATCAAAATGCCCCATAATAATAGAAATTCATTTTTTGCTTTTTACATAACTACAAATCCTAAAATACCAATTATTAAAACCTTGCATTTTTCCTTTGACTTACCTCGATAATTTTCAAATAATTTTTTTTAAGGTAAAAAATTATAGGATTATGCATCTTGGTTTTTTGCTCTTCTTTTTTTCTCCTCGACCACCATCTCTATTTGCACGTATCATCCTTACTACTGTATAAAATGCTCGCTCAACGTTTACACATGTTTTTGCTGAACTTTCAATAAATTCACATCTGAGTTTTCTTGCCATATTCATTCCTTCTTCTCTTGAAACCTCGCGTTCAGTGATTTTATCACACTTATTACCAACAAGCATAAGAGGAACATTGTCAGTGTCTTTTACACGAGTAATTTGATCTCGAAATCGTTCAACCCGTTCAAATGTTGAACGTGAAGATATAGAATAGACTAAAAGAAAACCTTCTCCGTCTCTATCATTTAAAATATAATCAATAAAATTGATTGAATACCAGGAGAAATATGTGAAGTAATTGATAAGTGATATAAGCTGATTATTCCATGAAATTTGACACTTATAAAGTAGCAATATATATATAAAATGCTTATGTCAAACTCATTAAAAATCAAAAAATAAGAATCTTGCTTCATTAAATGCTGTTTATCATCAATATACATATAACAAAGAGATCAAGATTCATTGTTGCATTAAAAAATAGTTATAACATCTTAATAATTTACCTAATCCACTGATCACGAAGGGCAGTATACTCCTCTATTAATTTTAGTTAAGAGATAAAAAGCATATATCAATAATAAAAGATTTTTGTTAATTAACAATTTTGAATTAACTATAATATTTTATATAAACATTTTAACAATTGAAGTATGAAAACAGATAGGATACAAACCTTGTCCAGCAGTGTCCAGTACCTCTAATACACAAGGCTGGTCATCTATTACAACTTGTTTCCGATATGAATCTTCAATTGTTGGATCGTATGTCTATCAAATCAATATTACGAATTTTAATTTTTTGAAGAATTAAAAATGCATAAGTGAGACAAAATCACACACACCTCTATTAATCAGTATTAACGTATTAAAAAAGTTTGAGGATTTAAATATAAACTTTTGATTAGAATTAATTAAATACAAATGTTTCTGTAGTTAAATTAATTCAAGCTGTTAAACTTACCAACAAAATGGTTTAAGCACAGCTGTTGAATAAAGTAACATTATTATTATTTGTGTTCAGAGTTAAAAAAGTTTTATACGTAACTACAGCTTTGAAGAAATAAACTAAAAACAGATTCTCTGGTCAATTATTTTAAAGACAAACCTGAATTGTGAGAGCGGTCTAGTTAACAAAAAAAATATATATGTGTATACATATTTAATCAAAAGAATAAAATTACTTTTAGAAATCACTGAATTAGCTTAAAATATGGTTGGTACCTTCCCAACGCCACCATCTCCCAGTACAACAAGCTTATATAACATCATCTTGACGAGGTGGCTTTATCTAGGGTTATATTGACAGGAAATTAATGAGGGGTGGATAAAAGTCCTTTGTATTAGGACAATATGTAAAATGTTTAGGACGAAGAGATGTCTTTTTGCGTAACGATAATAATTTGTGTGTAAAAAATCAATATGAGAAGTCATTTGAGCAGACCGGCATGTCCGGTGACGCCATCAAAAAATATTGGTGATAATCTTTTAGGTGCATTATTTTTCTGAAGTGTATACCAGGAGCGTCAACTAATGACCAAGAATGGTTTTCAAAGCATTTGAAGCGGCAAAGATAACTGACATCTATGCGCACGCCCACGCTAAAGATAAATCTAAACGACTAAAAGTGTTGTAAAATTGAAGAATTTCTTCACCTGGTTTCCTTCATATTTTTGTTTGAGACAATTATTTCATTTATATGACCTTGATATTCTCGATATTTTTTTTGTTATCAAGAATAAGCCGTCACAACAGAAGGTAATGCTCGATTCATAAAATGATTTTTTCCTTTTAAAATTACATTTATCAAAGAATAATAAAGATTTAATTTATAGAAATTATAGAAAACAAAGAAATAAGCCATCTCTGGGTAGAACTGTCTACTTAGAAAGTATGTATAACTTAAAAATTTGCTTGGTTATTTAATAATAAATATTTATATTATTGTAAATTTATTTGTTCACAACCCAATTGCAAATTCAAATCAACGACAATGATTTAATTTTATAACATGGATATATTCCAACATAGGGTTTTCAAAGAGTTCTAGTAATTTATGTGAAGTTTACAATGAAAACTGTCCCAATAGATAAGAATGCAGATAATGCTATAAAAGTAAAAGCTTAGATGCATTTGACTTTGAAATCCTTCCAGAAGTGTGCTTACGAGGTTTGGAAAAGAAACGGTAAACGTAGTGAAAAGTTTTAATAGGTATTTTATTTTTGTGACATTATATAAAGATATTTTATTTAATTTATTAGATATCTTTGAGCACGCTGCTTAAGAACAATGTTTATAAAGTTTTCGAAACACGAAAAATAAACGTATGATTGTAGTTTATGTTACGGATAGATCTCTAGATCCAATAATGATGTCTCCAATGCTGTTACTTGGTTTCCATTATTCTTTGGGAGAAAATATAAGCCATCACATATTTTCTTTTTGTATTGGTGATGCTTTATTATTTTTCCAGATAGTTATTCGTGGACCATTGATAAATTAAAAATAATAATTTCAAAGAATGTTCAGAGAATGTATAAGTTCGGATTCAATTCGTCTTGTAAACAACCTTAGTAGAATTACGATCCGTCAATCCGCGGATTGACCTTGTACCACCATATTGCGTTTCATTAGCACAAAAAAAAATGGACTCAATTTATTATTTGTCCAATTCTTCTTTATTCTTCTTTACTTTTATTAAATTTTTTATATTGTGTATTGAGGAGATACCTCTAAAAAAATTTCATTTAATAAATTAATACTCCAAAATATGTTTATTTTCGGGTCTAACGGAAACTCTACCGGGTGTTTAAACATTTTGAATATGGACCATATGATATGACATGATCTTAATAGTGTCGTTTCATATTGGACGGCAGTGCAATCTTTAGGTGAATGGTGCTCAAGTTACGGCGTTCCTGCAATTACAGGTGTTGACACTCGGGCAATCGTCCATATTTTTAGGGTAGAATTTTAAAATAACACAAGTTTTACTTTCGATTTATCAGATCTGCTACAACTTTAATTGTATAAATACGAATAAAGATTGAAAATTTGCAAATTGATGAGAAATGCTTTATTTATATTAAAGAATAAAGAGAAAGGTGGAACTAACTCAGAAAGTAATGATGTTTACTGAGAAAGTATTCCCATTTAATGCATTATTAAATTTAAAAGTTACTTTCCTTTAATTCAATCTATCATATAATTTTTCTTTATTTTTATCAGGTGTGTTAAAATAGAGATCGTACGATTAGTGACCGTTATACTGACGGACCTTAGTCCTTAGAATAAATGCTACTCTATCAATAATTTTTACATTAATATTGAACTGTCCATCAAGCATCAACAAAATTGATTACGTGCATCAATTAAGTATTATTGAACTTTGTTATATTGCTTTAGAAATGATTGTTTAAGAACCCGATTTTGTTACACAGAACCACTTCTAAGTATGTTGAAAATATTAATTGTGAAATTGGGCAAATTGGGCATCTCTTATCGGAATGTGATGGTTACATATGGTTTACCATATTAAGAATAAGAAAAAGGACACTGCATGTTTAAGCGAAAATCACATATTGACAATAAAATACGCAATCTATTAAATCTATCAGTAGTACCTTAATAGTTATTATAATTATAATAAATGATTAAATAAGGTTTAACATCTTTTCCTGATGATCACGATCGAAATATAATTAACACAGAAAATTTTTTTAGTTAACAGGCCCAAAAATTTTCCTATATTTGTTTTATACATCCGGATCATGTGCACAGAACATGTGTAACAATTTTTTATGGTAATGCATGTGAACCAAACTTAGCCAATAAAAACCATTATTTTGGTCAGTGGCATATAGTTTAAAAAAAATTCTAACATTGAAGAAAGTCAGCAACCGAATAATTGCTAATTATTAATCAAGTTTAATTAATTATATTTTTTATAGTAGATCACGAACCTTTCAGCACCATATTTTGGGGGAAAAATTAGGCGATCAAAAATCAAAATCAATGATCACATGTTTGGATTGATTAATGGATTTTGCAATCAAAAAAAAAAAATCCGAACGATCAACATGGCTTTACTTTTCAAACGAACATTTCCATTTTCACGACTTCAGGTAGTTCCTAGTGTAACGGTACTAAAAAGGTTCAGTTCTAGAGATTTGGATTCCGATTCTTCTGCTCTTGCAATAAAGGAGTCCAAGAATGAAGTCGTTGAAACAGCACCGGAAAAATCTCGAATAATAACTGCCGATATTATTTCAGGAGCACCAAGTAAGAAAAATGGTTCATTCAATTCAGTTTAAGGATTACTGCTAAGTAATTTGATTTTAGAGGAACTTCGGTATAGAACAGTTAGAATTTACAAACCTACTAGAACGGCAATGCAATCGGGAGAACATAATACTAAACATTGGAGGTTAGATTTTGATATTTTGGAAGGAGGCGGCAGATGGGAAAATCCTCTTATAGGTTGGGCTAGCAGGTAAAAACTTGCGAGATTAACATTAGATTTTTACATTAATAAAATTAATAAAAAAAATGATATCTTTTTTTTTTATAGTTCAGATTATATGCAAGCACTACGACTTAAATTCAAGTCCAAGGAAGATGCAATTTATTTCGCTGAAAAACAAGGTGAGTTTACAACATAATTATCACTTTTAAATATACACATATAAATTTTTTTCTTTTTTTTAGGGTGGGATTATTATGTTCAAGATCATATAGAACCAAAATTTCGTAAAAAAGTTTATGCTGATAATTTCAAATATTCACCAGGAAAATTAAGAATTATTAAAACAAAATAAAAGAATATGTTTATTCATTCAAGTTGTCTAAAAGTTAAACTTATTCTCCCTTCTTTGACTAATTTTTCTTTTGGAATTGAATGTTTCCAGTATTGTTGAGTTGTTCCCTTCATAATTATCAAAGAACCATTTTCTAAAGAAATTTTATGTGTAATTTTTTTATTTTTTTTATTCCTAAATATAAAAGTTCTTTCAGCACCTAAACTAACACAAGCAATAGCCCCAAATTTTACTAAACCTTTTTCATTATCAGAATGTTCACCAATAGAATCTTGTCCATCTTTATACCAATTTAACAAAACAAAATTAAATTGAGTATTTAAAATATCTTCAATTTTTTCTTTAATTTCTTTGATCGAAGGAGGATATTCAATAGAGTCAACACCAGCTATGGTTCCAGAATATTTGTAAACTTTATTTGGATCAGAACCAAAAGAGCAAGTTAGACGAGCAGCTTTTACGGGACGACCAAATACTTTAAAGGTAGGTCGCGTCCAGTATGAGAGAGAAATTAGTTCTTGATAATATTTAGAACATACTTCTGGTGAAAATATGGAGCAATAATATATAACTTCTGCTTGAGGTATATCAAGTTGAACAAAAGTAGAAAGCGAATTTGCTTTAACCCTTTTTTTTGTTTCGTTCGTGTTAAAGTCTTTTTCCCTTTCGTATTGTTGGAGACGTTTCATTGTTTGCTACATTACATAGAATGTCGATCATTTGATGATATACTTTATGATCACGTAGCTACAATATCATGTGATAAGTAACAATTTACATATTAACATTAACACCATTAACACGCTTATCTGGCGTTCGATCCCCTTTGAAACCTTTATTAGTATAACACCATAACACCACTGGTATATCCTTGCTTCTAAACAATATTAAATACCCCAAAAACTGCGTTCATAAAATTTTATTACCGCCTTTGGAATATTTCATATGTCAATTGCCGAGGTACAGTTGGGGTATTAAAAGCTTCCCCAAAAATCTTTGTGTAAGTCAAAAAATTTAACCAATCTCAATTGATATTGGATAAGATATAAGGATATAAGACAAAGCCCCAAACACTTTTGATATATTTTTTTTTCTCAATAAAAAAACCATGCCTCCTCGTGCAAAACTTGAAGAGCTCATAGACGGTTAGTATCGAAAAGCGCGTAGCAAAACGCCGTAATAACTTTATTACTACTTTTGTAATCTAATGATACTCTCAGTTTTTGGCTCTATTTTTCTTTATATTTATATTTTAATTGTTGAAAATAGGGCCTAAAAACTTTAGAAGAGCAGATGTTATCAGAACATTTGAAAAAAAAGGCAACGACCAAGATCCTTGGTATATTGTTGTTGATAATAAAGTATATGACATCAAGGATTTTGTGTCTGACCATCCCGGAGGGGCAGTGATTTTGACTCAAATCGGCAAAGATTCAACTGGTATGCATGTGTAATGTGATATTTAATATCGTGATCTAATTTAATGCGTGACATATATTAATTAATTTCTAGATGCGTTTTATAATTTTCACCCAAATGAGGTTATTGAAATTTTGGCAAACTATTATGTCGGTGATATTGCTCAAGAAGATATTATTACCTCAAAAGAAGGTTTTGCACAAGAATTGCGAAAATATAAGGAAATCTTTAAAAAAAAGAATTACTTTAAGTCATCAAAATTATATTATGCTCAAAAAGTAATTCACAACATCATCATTTGGGCGACTTCAGTTACAATTTTGGCTAAATTTGGGGATAATCTTTTCGGTGTTCTTCTATCAGCTGCAATAATGGGCTTATTCTGGCAACAATGTGGTTGGCTATCTCATGATTTTCTCCATCATCAAGTATTTGATAACAGAAAATATAATGACTTGATGGGTGATTTTCTTGGCGGAATTTGTCAAGGATTTGATCCATCCTGGTATGAATGATATTTAAATTAAAAATTAAGTATTTGATATTTATAAATAATTCTTTATTTAATATTTTATAAAGGTGGAAAGATAAGCATAACACCCATCATGCAGAACCAAATGTTCATGGACAAGATCCGGATATTAATACGCATCCAATTTTGACTTGGTCAGAGCATGCACTCCTTGATATATTTGATCCAGAAATGGCTGAAATAAATGCTAAACTACTCCCACAGTGGATTGTAAGATTCATGATTAAATATCAAACTTTAAGTTATTTCCCAATTTTATGCGTGGCAAGGGTCTCATGGTGCATACAAAGCATTCTTTTTGTTCTTCCTAACGGACAAAATGGAAAACCTGCAGATGCTCGCATGCCAATTTCTTTGACGGAACAACTTTCACTTGGAATACATTATATTTGGTATTTTTATATATTATCTTTTATAAGCACTTGGAATTTGGTTTTCATATTTTTCATCACATCGCAAGCAATATGTGGTTTATTATTGGCTTTGGTATTTGCGTTGAATCATAATGGTATGAAGATTCTCACGGAAGAGGAAGCCCAAGAAATGGATTTTTTTATTAAACAAGTTATTACTGGAAGAAATGTAATTGCTTCAAATCCAGAATTACAATTTATCGTAGATTGGTTTTGTGGAGGATTAAATTATCAAATTGAACATCATGTAAGAAGAAAGAATTAATCTTTTGTGTATAACTTATAATAATGATTTAAATATATAATTTTATTTTATACTTGTAGATCTTTCCTACTCTTCCGCGTCACGTCTTTCATAAAGTCCAACCTATTGTTCAAACATTATGCGAGAAATATGAAATACCTTATCATAAAACTACATTTATGGAAGGCACAAAAGAAGTTTTCAATCGATTGGGGCAAGTTTCTGCTGCGTGTTGGAAATTAGATCGAAAATTAACTTAATTTATATACATATATACATGTATAATTTTTTTTTTTAAAAAAAAAAATAATTATAATTTTAAATATTTAAAATTATTTTAAAAGCTCTGATAAATTAAATTCATTAGTTTCATTATCTTTCATGAAAACACCTTTTTCAGTAACTATAGCAGTAATTAATTCAGCAGGTGTAACATCAAAACTTGGATTCCATACTTTAACACCTTCTGGAGGCAATCTTACTTTTTTAATTTCTAACTCATTTTCAACAATCCCTTTCACATAAATAATCTCATTACCGTCTCTTTCTTCAATAATTATATCTTTTCCACTTTTAATATTAAGATCAATACTTGTACTTGGAGCAGCAACTATAAACATTTTATTATGGTATTTTGCAGTGATAGCCAACTGATAAGTGCCAATTTTATTTGCGGTATCTCCATTTGAAGCTACTCTATCAGCTCCAACAATTATAGCTTCAATATTATCTTTATTTAAAGATAAAAGAGCAGAAACCATTGAATCACAGATTAAAGTGCTTGTTATCTTATCGTGAATTAATTCATAAGCGGTCAACCTGGCCCCCTGATTATATGGACGAGTTTCTGTGAAATAAGCGTGAGAAAGCTTATTCTGAGAATATAAAGACCGAATAATTCCAAGTGCTGTTCCATACCCTGCTGTTGCTAAAGATCTAATAATAACAACAATAATAATAATAATAAAGGATTAAAGAATAACTTAGCACTGTAAAAAAAATTTAACTTTTTTCCATTTACTTACCCAGTATTGCAATGAGTAACAACGCTAAATTTTTCAATTTGACTTTCTTTTGCGATAAATTCTGCTCCAAATTTTCCAATGTTTTTATTATCTTGTATATCATCAATTAACATTTTCTCGGCTTCTTTAACTATTTTCTCAATAATAATTTTAACGTCATTTTCTTTTTCTGTGATGTTCCATAAAATATCTGAGGCACGAAATAAATTAACTGCTGTTGGTCGAGAAGACTTTAAATGGTCAAGAGAAGATTTAACGTAACCCTTTAAAGATTCTTGATCCTTAAACATTGGACAAGTCGGATTTGAATATTGTAAAAGAAGATCTACTGCTAATGATAAAGCCGCTACTATTCCTATAGCTGGTGCACCACGAACTTTCATCTGTTTAATTTGTTCATAACCTTCTTGAGCACTTGTTATTGATTCATATACTGTTTTGTGTGGAAGTAAAAGTTGATTTAGAATCTTTAACGAAGGAGGAGAACGCGTGTAAATAACTGTTGAAAGAGAATTTGTTGACATTTTTTCTAGAAAAAAGTTTATTAATCCGTGAAAATAAAAGGATTGGAATATGATACCAAGGTTACTATCATACTAAGAAGTTTCGATCATGTTGAAAACTATTTTGAAAACTCGTGGTTACAATCATGACATCACGATCCACGGATCGTTATACAGTCAACTCTCTCTAAGTGCGCACCGACCATAATGAAAATTATGAAAATTTGAAAAAACGTGCATTTAGGGAGGGTGTGCATTAGAGAGAGAAATTTTATATGATCTCTTGACTGAGTAAGAGGGTGCATTTAGAGAAAAAATATATAATACGCGCACTTAGAGAGAGTGCACTTATAGAGAGTTGACTGCAAAATAAGAGCAGTTTTCATTGAAATAAAATGTAAAAAAAATCTAGGAAAATATATACTTAATGTAGTTAATGTTCACCATTATTAACGAATGGATACGTTTATCGAAACTATTAACATTCCAACTAAAAATGATTTTGCATCAAATGCTAACAGAAATTTAATTGAAGATCTGAACAAAATTAATTTGATAAATTATTTTATTAAATTAAATCAAAAGCGCAAATAGGATTATTTTCAATCATGGTCAAATTTACTTTATGACCAAGTAACTAAATAAAAAATGAATAATTTAAATACATATCATTCATAATAATTAATAAGAGCATTACGAAGGTAATTTTACCTCTCGGATATTTTCTAATCCGTATTTAATCATAGCAGGTCGTTCTAAACCTAATCCCCAAGCAATAACGCGTATTTCTGGATCAAGGCCCATAGGTTCCAGCATTTCGGGGCGAAACATACCCGAATTCCCGATTTCTACCCATTTACCCAAGCCTAATTTTAAAACAAGCTGTAAATAATTCCTTGTAGATTTTCGTGTAATTTAATATATAGTAAGTACAATAAGTCTTTTATACCTTCATGATATGAAAAAATTTCCATACTTGGTTCGGTGTACGGATTGTAAGCAGGTTTGAAACGGAGATTCTTAATTCCTATTGTAAGATTAATTGGTTTTTTATATGAAAAATATATATACAATGAATCAAAGAATTGAATGTATTATTTAAAGAAGGAATTACCCATCTTTTCATAAAAAGTTTCCATAAACCCAATCAAGTCTCCGAGCGTTAAACCTTTATCAGCAATAACACCTTCCACTTGGTGAAATTCAGCTAAATGTGTAGCATCAACAGTCTCATTTCTGAAAACACGATCAATAGAAAAATATTTCACCGGTTTGAATTCTTTTTGAGCAAGATTATACAACATAAAAGATGATACAGCAGTAGTGTGTGTTCTCAAAAGTAATTTTTGCGCTTCTTCAATTTTCCAGTCATAGCCATATCCAGTGGAACCGTACCCCCCAACAGAATGTACCTTTTTTACACGTTCAAGGTAATCTGTGGGAAATTGTGTACCAACTGCGGGATCTAAGTTTGAAATATTGTGCGAAAAAATTGAATAATCCAAAAATTGATTACTGATACATAAAAATTTTCGGCCCTATATTATTTACCTTTTATGAAAAAAGTATCATGTGCATCCCGTGCAGGATGTTGTTGAGGCTGGAAGAGCGCGTCAAAATTCCAAAAGGATGATTCTACAAATCTATTAGTTGGCATTTCTTCGAAGCTAATACAACATATTCAAACATTCAGATTATTAAAATATATATTAAAATAATTTAAAAGATGTGAGAAAATTACCCCATTTCAAAGAAGATTTGTCTCAATTCTTCTCGGATTTTCATCAACGGGTGTAAATGACCACCTGAAGGAGGTATACCAAGAGCATCAAAATTATATTTCTTGAAATTTGCTTTCTTCCATTCTCCACTAAAAATAAAAATAAAAATCAATACTGTAATAAACGTAATGGATTGAAATATATTATTTACAATACCTTTGAAGCATTTCAAAGGTTATATCACGTGCTTGCTTCTCAATAGTTAAAGAAAATTTTGGCCCTTTCGTAACTGAATAAGAAATAATTTTGCTAAAAGGATGTAAATAAAATCAAAAATGAATACCAAATAAAATATGATAACATACTGTTTATCGCATAATCTCCTTCTTTTCAAATCAGCAATAACATTTGGATCAGAATGTTTTCCTGTCGAGCAAATTATATCTAAATCAATGCGCGTTTGATCTATAATCGAGTTTACCTTTGCAATTTCATGCATTTATTTTAGTAATTTACTAATTAATAAAAAAATATGCATAATTTAAACCATACTGCACGAATCAGATTGTCTCCTTTTTTAGTGATCCACTTATTTTTAAAAGCTTTTCCTTGTCCAATTTTAGCAGCGTTTCCCAAAAGTTTCTACATTATGGAGCTCTATTAAAAATTTTTTCATACATAATAAATAAAAAACGAAGTATCCGAAACCTGCAATTCTGGGATGGATAATCCCTCATCGCCAGCAGGAATGGCTTCAAAGACATTAGCTTCATGACTACCCTTGTCCACAATTTCATCCCCTTCATCTGTAAGTACCCAGATTTCATCCTCGATAGTATCGTATTCAACCATCTAAATCAAAGATATAAATTAGATATAGTAATATAAGAAATAATAAATATAAAGAATATCACCTCTTTGTCAACCAAACTTTTTAAGGCACCTAATAATACTAACTGGTCCACTTCCTTGCCATCAGAAGCTTTAAATTCTTTGGTATTTTCAATTGAACCTTTGGAATCAAGAGTGGTAAGAACGAGAGTTTGAAGTTCTTCAGTGGTCGTCATTATGAGCGAAGAAAAGATGATAAAAAATCTTGATTAATTTTGGGAGAATTTTATTGTTGATCATTGCCGATCAATTTCAAGAGTACAATTACTACAATATTAACATATTAACGTATGAACTGGCCAGAGTTTAGGAGTTATGCACTTGCACGTGGCATATGACGTAATTTTTGGCAGGCAAAGCAAATTTTTAAAAAGATCATTTAAAAGGATCTATTTACTAGCTTTTATTAAAAACTATAATATAGTTATAAATTTCACCTACTCTGCAAGTTTACTTAGGATTCAAATGGCGATTTTGACTTTACATATAAACGATTGATTTACCTCTTTGCCAATCATTACCAAAAATGGATTTAGCGAAGAAAAATTTGTCAAATGAATCGCTTTTGTCGCTCCAAGTAAACTTGCAGAGCAGTCGACATCTACCATAAACTTTAAAGACTAAAAAACTTTCTTTTTTTATGATTTTGTTGCGCCACAGTCGGCTGGCTGCGCCACAAACTGGCACGAAGGCAAATTACACGTGATTTGCAATATTTGTGCCTGTTGCTATATAAAATGATTTATATCCACATATTACAGCGTTTAAAATGACATTTGGTAATCTCTTCTATACTTAGTATAAGGTTCTTTGGTTTTAAATAAATATTAATTATCCAAATGCTATTTTCTCCTTCAAGATCTTTAAATGTAGATCCATGCTCTATTCGTCTGAGCTGTGCTAAATTGACCTTTTTGGTATTTTGTTTTTTTAATTTATTACTGGGGACTCATTTATTTATTTTATTGAAAATTCGTCATAAAAAAATCATCTTTTTAAAAGGTTTGTTCAATAATGAAAGCCGAACGTTCATAGAATATTGTTCAAGAAATTATTGTGTGGTGATCGTCACCGGTCTAGAATTTCTTTTCGAATTTTGACTAAAATATTTGATCTAATAATGATATAATTATTATACGTGTGAATAAGTGTTAAAAGAGAACTTATTGTTTGATAATTTATTGAATTTGAAAAATTCGATACATACATACACAAGAATTTAGACAGAAAAAAAAAAAAAATTCGATACATATAATATATGAAATTGATGTGTTTTATACATGTATATCTTCTATTTGCCATCGAAAAACCAAAACTTTTTACTGCACTCATTTTATTGCCCTTTCAAGATGACGGAGCATTAAAGGAACCTCTAGTATTATATAAAAAAGCTTATTAGTTTATTAGAAATTTGAGGGATTAATATCGTAGAGTTTTGATACATGAAAATTAAAAATTTCAAGAATATTTATAAAATGCCAACAGGATAGAAGGTTATAAATCTGGAATCTCCAAATCAATTAATCTCGAATCTTTGAATATAATAAAAAATAAAATCAGCAAATCGAATTAGAATATTAGAATTAAAATTGATATCGTAGTTGATGCTTACCAGCATTTTCAAATTGAGAAGGATGATTTGGTAAAAGTGGTAAAAGACGACTTTTATAAATGGCCTGAGGATGCGTTGTGTAAGTAATTTCTGATGTTGGAGGACTAGATCCTGATGAATCAATTTTTTGTCGTTGTTCAATTTCTCTAACCTGACTCCAAAATTCATCATATTCTTCCGATTCAAAAACTCCAAACCATTTACCAATTTGATACTTTAAATCATGAGAAGTTGGTCGATTTTCGGGCTTGGCATCCCAGCATCGTTTAGTTAATTGGATGAACAATTTAGGTGTAATATCAGCGTTAATGTGTGGACGGAGACCTTGACAGACATTCATCGCAAGATGAATATCATGAGGAATATCTTTGTAAGGTGGTAAACCTGATGACATTTCATTCATGAGAATTCCAAATGAATAGATATCTGCCGATTGTGTATATTCATGTTTACACAACACTTCGGGCGAGACATAAGGTAAGACTCCAAAGACTGGTCGTTCTTTTTTGGAAGACTCATGATTTATGGGTTTGCATAAACCAAAGTCTGTAATACATGTATCCTCAAAGTTGAATAATACTATATTTCCACTATGGAAATCACGGTGAGTCAACCCAGCATTGTGGATATCATCAAGTCCTTTAAGTATTCCATACAATATTTTAAGTTTCTGATACCAGTCCATTGAAAAAAAATTTTTATTTAAATAATTCCGAAGACTCCCCTCTTCTGCAAATCTCATTACCATCATAAAATCTTCGGTTGCTGGATCCTTAGTTATTCCGTAACATGGAATGATTTTGTATCCTCCTTTCGTACCGATTGATTGTATTTGATGTTTAATCTAAAGGTTTCAATGGATATTGGATAATATAAGTATTCATAAGTGATTATTAAATACATGATATAATATTTTTACCTCGTCGAAAAATTCAGGAGGAATTTCCTTTGAATTGAATAAACTTTTTAAAACAACTTTAGTGTCACCAAGAAGTTCACCGCGCCTTGACCAGTCTTTTTTTTCAACATTCCATTTATAAATATATCCATTTTTCCACGTAGCTTTATATACTTTACCATATCCTCCTTGTGATAGATATTCAACGTCGGTAAATAGTTCATAGGGAATCCACTCCAATTTTTGAAAATGGTCCAAAGCGTTGAGCTGTGTTTCTTGAATAAACTTATCAATAATACTATTTCCGCTTGTCCAACTGTTGAAGTGTTGTTGAAAATGACGTGCGTTACAAGGTTTGCACCAAATCCAGATATCTTCACTAGGACATTGCTCTCCACATTCTTCACAAGTGTAAAAAAGCATGGTGCTTGCTGAAAGGAATGACTATCATCGTGCTACTACATATAGGGAGGCAAAAAATTACACAGTGTCTTACAAAACAAATCTATTCCTGTCCCTTTTCTGTTAATTCGTTTTTTTTTTCATATTTAAAAATGAAAATAACTCATTGCATCTTTGATATGGATGGTTAGTACTTTTTCTTTCGTGATATATACTTTAGTCGGTTTCTCACTTCTTTATTTATACATTATATTTCTGTTCTTTTGACCTAGGTTTACTACTGGTATGTTTAATCGTTCATTCACTTAGAATAAATAAGTCCTACTGCTAACTCATAACTTTACAGGATACGGAACGAATCTATTATGAAGTGACATGTAATAATCGTAATAAATTAGTCTACTATTGAGTGTTGCTACTTCAAACGCATATCTAATATGCGTGTTCAAATTTTTTATCAGCTGAAATTCTGGGAAGATACGGGAAAACTTATACATGGGAGCTTAGGTCACTCTCATTGGGACTTCGACAATATGATGTAAATTTCGTCACTTATATCTAGTGGTTACAATCTAGAAAGTAAATCTTATACTATAATTATAATTTATTTAGTCTGCCGATCTCTTGGTAAGGGAAACCGGTATTCCCATGTCGGTGGAAGAGCTCATGAAGGAACGAAATGAAAAAAACGTATGATTTGTTTCATTTCATTTAAAGATACTTGTTTTATGATTTTAATTTAATCGAGTTATTTCCTTAATTGTAAAGATTGAAAGATTTCCTAATGCCAGACCTATGCCCGGTGTCATGGTTAGTTATTATAAATCGTTTAATAAGTTACTATATTATTAAATAACACATTTTAATCATTCAAATAAGAGGCTTATAAAGCATTTGAAAGCCCATAATATTCCCATAGCAGTAAGTGTTCTGATATGATACACAAGAGTGTACACATGAAATATTAAATTTATAAATAATGAAATAGGTTGCAACGAGTTCAAGTCGTGATAATTTCGCCGTCAAATCTCTCAATAATCAAGAACTTTTCAGTATGTTTGATAGTATCACTTGTGGGGATGATCCGGATGTCAAGAATGGGAAACCTGCACCAGACTTGTTTCTTTCTGCTTGGAAAAGTATGGGTAGTCCACCTTTAGATCAGTGCTTGGTATTTGAGGATGCAATTAATGGGATCCAGGCTGCAAAGAATGCAGGAATGCACGTAGGTTTACATTTTATTAAAGAGTAAGAAAGTTTTAAACCTTGATCCAGTTTTTGCTTTTTTTTAGGTGGTTTGGGTCCCAGACCCTAATATAGCACTACTACATCCAGGTAATAATGATACAGACGAAATCCTTTCTTCTCTAGAAGATTTTGATCCAGCAAAATATGAGTTACCACCTTTTGATAGTTAAAGGATATTTAAATAGATTATCCATTTATGTTTTGATACAATTAATAAATATTGTTGATTATAATATATTAAGTTTATTCAATAATCAAGAATAACAAGACATAACATTCAAGTTTATTTAATATAATTGATAAGTCAAACCTTATATCATCTATTAATCCAATTTTTATATAAAGAAAATATAAGATATGACTAGTTAGTGATTTCTCTCCCTATAAAATTGACTAAGTTCCTTCGCTAAATTGTACCACGGCATATTTCCCAGAATACATCCAGCCTTCTTCCACAGCGTTCAACCTTTCTTCAACTCCTTTTTCAAGACCAACGAAAAGATCAGACTTACCAGTTCTCATAGTTAATACTGGTGGTGCGCCTTTCGCACTTGCCAACGGCCCGATGGCTTCTTTAAAAGGCGCAGTAGTTTCCCACTTACAATCATATACCAACTTTCTATAATTCAAATCGCCTTTAAATATCACAAGCTGAGACTTACATAAGTCAGCATATAAGTCTGGTGCCTGCTCTGCTAGGTGCCAATATGAATACGGTGATGTCCAGAAATAGTCCTCAGTAAAGATCCATTGGAAATTTACAATGTAAGATTGCCAACGACTAGCAAGCTTTTTGAGAGACAATTTTTCTAGTTCAGAGGCGAATGAAAAGAAATCATCACTTTGAAGTGTTTGGAAGAGCCAGTCGAAATCATACCGCGTTGTGTCTGAAACAAACCATGGAATTGGTTTGGCATGTAAGTGGATCTCTCGTGCATAACCGGATTGGATTAGCCAATCTGCAAAAACTAAATCTCCGTAGAGTTCAAATCCTAAATTGAAAAAATAAATGATAAATTTCCATATTCATTTTAGACTTAAGTATGAGACGTACCAGCATTATCTAGAATGAGGTCCATCCTAGCATAACGGCATTTTAAGATCCATTCCCATACTTTCGCCAAATCATTCACCAAAATATTTTTCTCTGATTCCTCCATACGTTTTGTTCCGGCACTTTGCAATTTCTTAACTTCATCAAAACTAAAATTAGTCAACATAGATAAATCTGTTGCATTTCCCCAAAGTGATATTTGTGCAAGTTCATGGAAGATTATTTCATCGGTCTCTATGTCTCTGTTATCTGCGTTCACTTTTGGAGCAGAAATTAATTCATCAATGCGTTTAGCAATTTCGATAATTGTAGCAAAGGAGGCTCTGAAAGAATCTTCTTTTTGACGAAAATAAGGATCATAGCTGCGCCATTGTTTGGTTTCTGCAAGCGTTGAATGAATTATACGGTATAAGTAGCATTCTGCAAATAACCAAGTTGCAGAGTACCAGTCTTCACCATTGAAATAAGTATTTAAAACATAGTTGTATGTGTCGATATCTGGCGCTTCACTAGCTTCAATTGGGCTTTTACAAACAATAAGTGTTTAATATAGATGAAAATAATAAAGATTAAAGGAAAATATCTGTAAACTTTCAAGCAAACATACATCAATGGTTTTTTTTGCTGTATTTGGTATTTAAGTTCTGTTAGGGAATCCGCAATTCTTTTTCCTTCTTGAATTTTATCAACTTCCAAAGGGCCAAGTGAATTAATAGTTTTATATATATCATCAATAACTTTTTCTAAAATTTCAGGCCATCGTTTTTTTGCGGTAATATATGCGAAAGTATTTTTATCTGTTGCTTGAAGAGCAGGTCGTGGAGGGTTTGCCGGATTTACTGCCATAATTGTCAAGAGACATTAGTACGTAAGAAATGCATGCGAATTTACCGGTTTTATTTTAATAATGCTAATCCTTATTACAACATTCCTAACTCAAACTTTTCATATGATAAACATTGCGTTTCGCTTGATACATTAATATAAAACTTTGTAATTTAACCAGGCAGAAAAAAGTATTTGAAACATAAGATTAATGAATGAAATTCAGTGTTTTTTGATAACACCACCTTTGAAATCATCGGCAATTTTTATTGTCATGAAATCAAAAGTCCAAGTTGTGTCATTTTTTAGTAAAAAGCAAGCTATATGTAATATAGTTTATCAGTTAGCTCGTTACTATTTTGTCTAACAGTGCACATAAAGTATAAAGAGTTAATAGTCTCAATAATAAGAATTTCTAGTTAAATTATTGTAATGGAAAAAATTTAGTTTCCGATAATTTACATTTAAAAAACACAATAAAAACTAAATTTAGTATTAATTCAGACTTCAATAATTTCATATTAATTAATATATGTATACGATTACTTTCACTATTTTTTTACTTAAATTTGAATTAGAATGTCTCCAGATTGTTTTATCTTTTAACACATGGTTGTCATTACTTAGAATAACGAAAGACGAAATTTTTTTTTTTTTGATATTAGTCAAATGCACCTTGCCAATCAATTTTGCTAATCGCTGATAGTAATTTAATTGTATGCTTTTTATTAATTAAATTTGGTTTTTTATAATTTTTAAGCCATATAATTAAATTTTTTCAAAGAATATCTTATTATAAAGGGTATATTTTATATTTTTTCAAAAGTTTATTATAAGGTAAATTATGTTATATGAAAAGTATTTAAATAAATAAATATATATATATAATATATATATAACAAGTTGATACCCCTTATATAGTACTGATTACTGAAGTATATAATATTCTTAAAAATACCTTGTGTTAATTTTATCCAAAATTCAATATTTAATCAGTTATTTTATATATAATACTAAGGTTTCATTTACTTATAAAATGGGTCATTCCAGGTCTAATATAAAAATCATATGGAATGTTTTGGTTAAAATTTAAGTTATTGTATTTTAATCTAGTCATATTAAAAAGTATAATACATTTGATTTATTCATTATTTATATATATAGTGTAGATATTTCACAACTATAGCATGTGACTGTAGGAGGTACCTTTATATTTATTATTTTAAAATAGTGGCAATTATATTGTAATTTAAGTATAAATTGCAGTTAATCAATATAAACACTTTTATTTTAATATAACTTATACATTTATAAAACAGACAATAAAAATCTCAATTTTTTAAAAAAAATTCTCCAACTTAGCTAATTAACCAATAGAATTTAAGAAAAATTAAGGTAAAAATCATCAATAAAGAACTATTGTGATCTTTATTATAAATAAATAAAGTCCTAGTATAATATCTTTTTCTTTATATAATTCTTTTTAAAATGCTATTTAAATTAGACAAACTTTTTAAATAAAATCTAGAATACTGTACAGTCAACTCTCTTTATAGTCACACATTTGGAATAGCCATTTTTTGTGATTATAAAGAAGTGTAACTATATACAAAACATACATAAAAATTAAATTTTTAATACATTTTATTATATTTTATTAAAATATATATATATATATTATTAAATCAGCAACCAATAATCATAGAAAAATGCAATACAATTTGTTAGAATCATCTCATTGAGACAAATCGAATGGTAGTAGTTTCATCTTTCTACGATTACTGGCTGATAAGATATTTAGCGAAATGTCAAAAATTGGCATTTTAATATTTCTTGATTTATGTTTACTGCGCCGCTAAACATTTTTATTAATATTTTAGCATCCAGTGATTATAAAAGGATAATTAATAGTTCTTTAGAATCGTCTAATTGAGACGAATCGAATGGTAATAAGATCATCTTTTTAGGTATGATAGATCATGATTTATCTAATAATTTATTATTTTAACTTTTTTTTTGTATAACTCGTAATCTATAAATATATGGTTTATAGTATTTTGAAGATATATACCTTCAAATTTTTACTTTTTTTAATAAAACGTTTCATTAATGTTTTTATTTTTTTTTCTTTTTGTAGGTTCAAGACTAAGGTTGCTTGCCGAAACCTAGGGGTTTAGGCAAGATGGTGTTTCGCCAAAAAGCAAAATTCTGCTGAAACTATATTAAAGTTATATTAAAAAACTGGCAAAATTTTGGAAAAAGATGAAACTGCCAAAACTTATTATAAATGCCAAAACTGCCGAAACTCTGCCGAAACTATAATAAATCTATAGTAAAATTTTGATGAAACTAATCGTAGGATTTTGAAGAGATTTAGACAAGCAACCTTATTCAAAACATCCATTTAGAAAGCTTAAGTGGACTTTTAAAGTATAGAAAACCTAAAGATTCATAAGTACAAATATAAATCTTTTTTTTTATTTTTTTATTATATGAATAGTTACTAATTGTTCTTTTTTTACTTTTTTTTAAATCCAGTTCTCAGGTGGATTTTTGAAATACAAATCCCAAAGATTCATAAATACAAATTTTTCATTTTTTTTTAATATTATAAACAGTTACTAACTGTTCTTTTTTTNTTTTTTTTTCTGCAATGCATTTGATAGTTTATTAAATAGTAAAATGACTTCAGATATTACATATAGTAAATAAAAAACCTAATTTAACCATCTAATATAATTTAACTACCAAACCACTCGTCATGCTACATTGAGCACCCCACATGTGCACTCACAGGTCAAAAAGTGAAAAATCAGGCATCAATCAGTCACCAATCAGCTATCTGATTGGTGACTGATTGGTGCCTGATTTTTCACTTTTCGATCTGTGACTGTCAGGTAAAGTTTTTGCTCAGAGGGTATAGTTCATGTGAAATGGCCATTCTTAGCATAAATGCCCCTCTTTCTTCACAAGGCATTCACAGGACCTACTACATTGCGAATAAAAAAAAGATTATATTGATAAAGAATAAAACTCTAATATATAAATTCCATCCAGATCGATCCTTCCACAAATGTCCTGAAAGTGTAAGGAAAGAGAAGTTTCTTCTATTCAAGTCATAGGATCCAAGGAACGCATTACAAAACTAGAACTGACCAGTTGTAGATAAAGCAAAACATTTTCCATTCTTGAAGTCAACTAGTGTAAGGTCTTATTTACCATTTGAATGTTGCAAGGTGTAAAGAGAGGTAGATTTTAACATCAGATGTTCATTATCACAACTTAATTTCTTAAACACTGTAGACTGCCACCCATCATTAACCTCATCTAACCAGTCAAGGTAAGCTCTATCCAAATTTTTAAGAAAACGTAAAAAGATAACACTATAACTAAATCTAAAAAAAATAACTAAACATATATAAAAAATAAAAAAAAATAAAAAATATATATGAAATGTAGAAGCAAATAAGAAAATCTGGGCGCTATAACATCGAATTTTGTCTTTATCCTTCTTTCTCTGGGTGTGTAAGCACAGTCGAAGATCTGTCTCTTATACACATCTAGATGTGTATAAGAGACAGGTGTAAGCACAGTCGAAGATGAGGTCTAGGGTCTTTATTGAAGGTTGTTTAAAGAGAAACCAGAGGCGGTTAGTTCTATAATATCAGATAAAGGTTAGACTGAACATTACACCAAAAAAGCTATTGATATTCCATAAGAGATAATCCGCTCTATGAGTTATCCCAAATGGAAGTTTTCTTCTGAGTTTTGAATTATTTGTTGTTATACCGGCAGTTTTCAGAAAATATCCAAGAACGCGTCAAGTTTGCGACGTGTTTTAATTCAAAATGCTTCAGGTAGTATCCTAATCAGAAGTCTTGTAACTTGACGAATAGAAAATGCCAGTGAGTATGAATAAACAATAGGTGTTGTAGAAGAAGGTAAAGGCAAAATTTGTTCGTATCATTCAAGTAGGCTAGTTAAAGTTTTCCAGAGGTATTTTTGTGTGAAGTGCTTATAGTGTTGTAGAACCGTCACGTGTTTCTTGATAGTTTGGTCAAGTATCTTAAAAAATGATGGTCTGTTAGTGTAAAGAAAATTACTGTAGAGAAAGTCCATAAAGTCCTTGTTATTCAGGAGTTTGTTGGTCGCTCTTTCCATGTTCAAGGTTTGGATATTTCACTTATAAAAGGTAGCTTAATATTATCTTCATCTCGTCGTAGTCCAAAGCTTGCTTGTTCTAGGCGATATACCTTTCCAGACCATCTTGAGTTCAGGAACCCACAAAGAAGAAAACCGTGTAAGATAGAAAAAAAATAAAGAAAAAAATTGTATTTAATACTAAAATAAACTGTTACAGGTTCTTTGCTGTCAAGGTTTTACTTGAAGTATTTAAAATAAAATAAAAGTATATAAACTATAAGCGAAAAAATAAAAAAAAAAAATAATAAAAAATATTATTGAAAAATTATGGTCCAAACGTTTAGCGGAAAGAGTCCATCTCAATTTCTAAGTTCTAAAGAATAAAAGATTAAGATTCATAAGTAAATATAAATCTTGGTTTTTTTATTATTTTTATTAGTAAATTTTTTGGCATATGAATCTATAAGAATTCCTTAGATTTTTCTAGAATTCTTAAAAATCTGATAATTTGCAGATTTCTTAAAAATCTTTCAATGAATTATAAAGTTCTTTAAGATTTTTATAAATTATTAGATTCTTAAAAATTTTCAATAAAAAATTCTTTAAGGAATTTTTAGAATTATTTTATTAAAATTGCATTTATCAATTAACAGTATATCAAACTAAAGTATGATATAAAATTATATATTATGTGCTACACAAATATAACTATAACTGTTAATTTTTTTTTTCAAATAAACTTTCATTTTTTTCTTTTTCTATTATCTCTCTTTTTCTCCTTTGCCTTCTTTTTTTCATTTCTTATTCCTTTTTTTTTCAATTTATATGTAGATATACAGAATATATATAAATAAAGATTTCAATAAAACTTTAGACAAAATGTTAACTAATGAATATTTTGTTTTCTTTT